ACAACTTCATATCCTAATAATAGACAAATTGAATTTCAATTAATATCAAATAAATATCAGTTGGATGGATGATGAAAGAGAAAAAAAGAATAAAAATGATAAGATTTATTGTTTACTGTTATATCGTGTTCGATATATTGGATGAATGTATGCATGTTATAATAGTCGTGTATAAACAGAAATGGTTCAAATCTAGTTCAAAAGAAAACATGAGTTAACAACACCAATTTTATTATTTTCTTCTCATTGTTAATGAATTATGCTTTGAATAGACCATTTCTCATTAATACGGAACACTCCAATATTCTCACACAATCTATCTCATTTTGAGATGTTATAGTACCTGACCTTGTCATCACATTTATGTGTTTCTATATATATATATATATAAAAGAGCTCATCGATCTGCCATATCAGACAAACATTGAAGCACGTTTGATTCAGTGTGCTAGTGCACGCTCGCCTGCTCGTCAATAATCATTATCGAATCGCATGAGTATAGATGCATACATCGGAAACACTCGACGATAGAAAAAAAACGACGCAAAACTACAAATAACAAGCAAATACTTCTCTTCTATCTTTTTTTAATTGTTTTATTCTATTAAAGGACATATATTATAATTTTTTTATATCGATAAATGACAAAACTTATAATCAATTCATTGTTCAAATATATAATAACATGAAAAGCAATGATTTTATTCATACTAGGTATTTCTTTATTGTCTCTAGAGAATTTATGTCGGTGTATTGTATTTGAATAACAAAGACAATAATACTATTACGCCTCATATTACTTCAACACCAACATTTATACATAAATTTTCTTTTTCAGAGAGATTTCCATTGATATAAAATAATATTATTAGCAATAATAATATTAATATAAGATAAAAAAAATATCTTTGATTCAATTCGAATAATAGAATTCATTCATTTCAGTTTTGCATGTTGATCCAAAAATTTTTTCACTAGCGCAACAAGAAATTATACGACAACAAGAACAAAGTAGATATACAGAGCACGAACGAAAGAGAAAAAAAAGAGAGAAACGAACAGTGTGCTACACATCGACATAAATCAAACAGACTTTTAGAGGTTCTTCTTCACATCACTGGGGTAATGTCATAGACATTTTTTTTTCTTGTTTCTTAGGCTTCCATTTTCATATTGGCACTATTAGTATTGCTCCGCATTGTTTGTTGAATACGTCGGCGTAACTCATTGACTTTACTTTCTTGAGCACGAATATGTTCATCAGTAATTGTAACATGCTAAAAAAAACCAAAAGAATTTTAAATAAATACAATAATTTCAAAAAAAAAAAAGAAATAACATACTTCAATTAATGGTTGATCACGTTGAACATAAATAGTTGGATTTTTTTGAAATTGTTTATTTTGACCAAAAAGTGCACGTGAATTACTATATAAATGAAGTGATGTTGCAAGACTTATGACAATCGTTTCGGGTGACATATTAAGACCGACACCTAAATGAATTTAAATGTAGGCAAACTAATTAAAGTTTTTTTTAAAGTTTTACTAAAAATATAATGAAAAAAAAAAGAGTTATTTTTAGATCAAAGAAGATATGGAAAAGCATAAAATATTAATTATTTAGATTGAAATTAAAAAAAAAGAATATTTTATTATTATATACTCATTGTTATTTTATAGACTTATAGATTAAAGCGCTTTTGTTTTTAAATTTAGATTGTTGAAAATAATCCTATGCCTTTATATGAATTAAATTCTTTAATTTTTATGCTAATCATAATTGAAAAGAAAAAAAAATATGATGTTTTACGTATGACAGATATAGAAAAAAATTGTTTGTTCAGTAGAAATTGTTTTCTTCTATACACCCTCATTTATGTAAATATCATTTGATTACATGACTATGTAAATTATTTGCTAATATGAACTCCTTGTATGTTCTAATAAAGAAAAAACGATCTAGAATACTTGAAAGTATATTAGTCTAGCTTATAATGTTTTTTTTACAAGGTCAAAGAAAAACATGAAACTAATTTCAGATCATTTAATTTATAATACACACAAAAGTAAAATTCAAGAAATTATATTGATAAAGCTTCTTTTTCATGACGTCGAAAGAAAACGATAGTATTCATGATTTGATATAAAAAGAAAAAGTTAATATGACATTCATTTTAAAGAAAATGTAAAATTTAAATCGATTGTGTACAAAAGAATATGTAATGCTTATGAAATATACTATTGCATAACTATTTCAAGTTTTTTCTTCAAATATAAAGGAGATTATGCAAGTTATGACTCTTTTAAAATATCATCTATTATAAATTGTACTCTTTTCTTGTGAGTTAAGTGTACTTCTACAAGTTTGATTGATTTTATATTTCAATCATAATGTATACAATAATAAGTGGTTGAATTCAAGATTTTAATATACCTTTAATTTGTTCGGGTAATTTAAAATGTTCAAAAGGTTGTCCATCGATATCTGTTGGTCGTATATTTTGAAATCGTTTTTCCCAAAAAAGTTGTCTTGGTTTTGTTTTTTCACTTGGTTTTCCACCACTATTAGTATTTGTTGTTGTTGTTGAATTATTTGTATTAATAACTTGTGGTTTAACTTCATCACGCTGTGTAGGATAATAAGTAACTGGTTGTTTAAATATTGGTAATGTTTGTCTTAATGGACATCGTAAAGATGTATCACTTTTCGAACCTTAAAGAAAGGATAGCAGAACAGTTGAACTTTTGACAATTGAGTCTTCACAGATGAGGCTCTTAACATTTGAACCTTGGACGTTTGAGTCCCATATCAAGGGTAATCAATTTATGTTTTTAAAAACTTATTACATTCGAAAACAATCTTTCAAAAATTTAAATTTAAAATAAACTAAGAAAGTGTTGATGTAGATGTAAAGTTGGACGTCCATAAGTGAGAGTCAGGAGAACACATCCGTAACTTACACTCTACACTCAAGTGCCACACCTCTTATCTATGCCCAAACAGCAAATACTTGACCTGGAATTTTGCTTTCAACCAGATCTGCCTGTAGGAGTTAGGAATAGGGGTAGCATTTTTCTCTTATTTTATTTTGAATTTAAATTTTTGCTAATTCAATTTCAAAATACATTTAAATTTATTTTAAGTTTCAATGTATTAAAATAAATTTTATATTTAAATTTTTTAAAAATCATTTCGGGATTTAATAAGTTTTAAAAACATATATTGATCACTCTTCATATGGAGTTCAAACGTCCTAAGCTCAAATGTTAAGTGGCTCATCTCTGAAGGCTCAATTATCGGAGCTCAAATGTCAGGAGTTCAATTGTCTATGTACCTTAAAAAAGATTCATGATGCAAATACTATTAGTAAAATCTCTGCAGAATTAAAATATGACATACGATGCAGCTACTGTTGCTAGTCACAAGTGATGGCTTTATTCTATCTATTTTGAAACACATTTGTTTACTATCCTTTTATTGAATACTTCAAAAATGCAATAAGGAAGTAGTTCATACTAGAATGAGATATTATTGATTTATGGTCGTTGATTGTACATCAACAACATCTATCGTTGCCTGAGAACGTTCTTTGAATAGTATCTGTCAGAGCTATGAAGGAAGGGACAACAACGTGGACATCTGGTAAAAAATGAAAATGATAGTCTTTGCGATTTGAATAATGTCCGATATATTTTAGTCAATGATCGACATTTTGATTTAAAAAAAATTTATACTAACTATTTAAGAGTTTGAAGAAATCCTAGGCCTAAACAATGGTCAAGATTCTGTCATGTTAGAGGAAAGTATCTTTTTCCAAAGAAATGAGAACGACTAACGGAATAAGTCATACAGATTCTGAAATTAGAACTTTTGTCCTATCATTCTATACGAGAAACTTTGTTCTAATAGTTTCTGTGCTGTAAAAAATATTCATGTTTTCTTCAACTAAGCCCTTTCTATCAAGTCATGTTCAACGTACTCAGTGCGCATACTTTATCACAGCTTCAAACTCAATAAAACTTTCACAAGAATATTTTTCTCTGTCAGACACATCTACTCAGTTAGTATACAGATGCATAAATGCTTCCGGACTGAGATATAGGTTTTCTAAAAAAACCTTGGTCTCTAAAGGTTGTCCACGGTTTTTTTTTGTCTCAGAAGTACTTGAAGAGAACAACAAGGACATATCTGGAATCAGCACGAAAAACTGCATCGAATAATGTGTCATTTGTTAATTTTAAAATGGAAACTTTTTCGACAAACGTTCAGGATAAAGATTTCCTCATACATGTTACATTGAAAATCTTCTTTTACGAATTTCATTTGTTTCATATTAATCTTTTGAGTGCTAGAAATTTATATTTCTACGAAAAAAATGCGCTTTTGGCAGAAAATAAGTCATGTCAACGTGCTCTATAAAAATTGCCCATTGTGGAATGTCCAAATTTTTACTCCTATACGTCAACAATCCTTTTCAATCGTGTTTGTCAAAAGAAATTAAAATAACAAGCAAAAAATATTACTAACTTCGAACCGCTGAATTTCCTTCATGAGATGTTGGTCGTACGCCATTTACATGACTAACTTTCATTTTTTTTGAAAGATTTTGTTGTTGAGATGGTCGACTTAATTTTGGTGCATGAGTATTTAATAAACGATTTGGACTTGATAACATTGTTGATGATGATAATGAATTTGTAGTTCGATCTGTTGGATCGTGCATAATGTATATATATATTTTTCTTTTTCTTTTGTTTAAATTCAATCTAAAATTTTCATTTAATCAATACACACAAAGATTTTATTAAAAATTCTTTTTATGAAGAAAAAAAAATTGAAAAAGATCGACATCATGAGTAAAAAAAAGAATACACGTACATTTAAACATACATACTCACAGAATTGAATAATACGGAAATTTATGGAAACAATGAAAAAATTTGTTTTTTTTGCTTTCCTTTTTCCTTTTTTTTTTTTTTTTTGATCGTGACTAGTGATTAGACTTGATCAATTGATTCATCACGTTTATGTGAATTCATAGTTGTCTGTTTTGTTGAACGTTTTTTTGATGTTCTTTGACAGTTATTTTCAGGTATGAGTTCAACAATATCATCATCAGATGATAAAGATATTGTACGACGTTTTTTATTTATATTTTCAGCTGGAGTTTGTAATGGTGAAGCAATTGATGATAATGATACTGATGATAATTTATTTCTTAAACATGAATTATCATGATGATTGTTCCTATCGGCTAAGATTGAAGATGTTGGTGAACATTGAAGAAGTTCATCAACTGTATATTTTGTATCATTTGGTATTAAATTTTGATCATGATAACGACAATAGATTTTTTCTATAATACCATTTATACGTGTAGATTTTTCTTCGAATTGTCTATTTGTTAATTTATTTGGATTTACTGTTAAACGTCGACGATTCTCATGAGAATGATGATGATGTTGTTGTTGTTGTTGTTGTTGTTGTTGTTGTTGAAGTTCTTTTTGGTAAGGCTATATAATATAAATGAAATGTTTTATATATTAAGAAAATAAAGAATTATGTCATGAGTTTTTTTTTCTTATAAATATATACTGATCAGGAAACTATTCAAACTGTAACTCGCCGTTTAAGGTCATATGGGATCCACAAGAAAGTCTTGATAAGACTAGAATAATCTTAAAACGGTTTGTATCTATGAGCTTGTGAAATTGAGTTATGACTGTTTTACTGAATTTTCGATCTCATTTTTTTGGGTATTTGTTAGAAATTGAACATCTCGATAAAAGAACATTCTTTTGCAGCTGAAAATTTCAGAATACTTTAAGGATCATCAAACTTATCTATGAGCTGAATTTCAGAATGAAATTTCATTATTTAATTTTACAATAAATATCTACAAAATGGATCGAGAATTCAGTAAAACGATCATAACTCAGCTTCGAAGGCCTACGGACACGCACCATTTTAAGATTCTTCTAGTCTTACCGAAACCTTCTTGTGGGTCTGATATGAATTCAAACGGCAGATTACAGTTAGGGTAATTCTCTCGTCATTAGAATTTAGTATTTAGAACTTCAAATGTTTTCATGATAACATTCATCTGCCGAATAAAATAGACTAATCGAAAATAGCATAACCTTATCTCATATGAAATCAAAAATCTACATTACACACAATGAGGATTGTTTCAGTCATAAAAATAGAATTAATATCATGTACGGTAAAGGTTATGATTCATTGTATGCAATACTTCTTCGAAAATTTGCATATTTTTAGTTTCTAAGAATCGTAAAGTGTTTAATTACGATATATAAATTTTAAATACAATAGAAATTATTTCTAGTAATGTATCACACTAGGCAAAATTTTTAATTGTATTGAACAAAAGAATAAATAGCAAACTTAATCATCACCATTGTAGGATTAGATTTATAAAACCTACTTTTTAAGTAAGAAGAAATTTCTTTGAATGTTTAAATTATAAAATCAAATTGTTTAATACAAACCTGATAATCTCGTTTAATTGATAATCTTTCAACATAATTATCAAAACAATAAGATTTTGTATTAATTCCATAATGTCTTGATTTTAATAAACGTGTAAATGTTCTTGCTGATTTATCAACACGATATTCACATATAAATAAATCACTTGATAATACTCGACTACTATTATCACTTATTGGTTTACCTTTACAATAAGTTCCTATATCCAATACAAAACATGGACGAACAATTGAACTTATTGGTAAAGGATCATTTGATGATGGAAAACGAAATACTTCATTAGGAAAAAATTTTCTATTTGGTTCATGAAATGTTTCATTTGGACGTATATAATAAAAACCTGATGCTTGTCCAATACCATAATCATCAATCCAAAGACGTTCAACAAATAAAATATCATATTCAGGTGATGTTAATGATCTATCAATATTTTTTTCATCTTGTTTTGGTACAAAATAACATTCATTTATACGTATTATAAAACCATCTGAACGTGTTAATGTCGAATATGAACTATGATTATCATCATAGGTTTGTAATGGTGATAAAGTAGCAGCTATAATAACATTAGTTTTTAAACAAGCTGATGGATTATGTTCACATGCTGGTCGACATTCAAAACAATAATATGGTCGACTTGAATCAACTATTGAAACACAGGCCACATGTTGCCAAAACTTAAACACATAGATAAAATGATGAACTGTTTCATGAAATTTCATAAATAAAATTATAGATTTATTCTATTATTAGTTTTATCTAATTATAATTCAAGGTTCAAACTCATATATTTTTAATGAATAGTAAAGATAGAACTAATTAAGAGTATTGTATATATTTTTTATTTAAGATATACCAAATCCAATTTTTAGATTTGGATGGATTTAGAATTGGTACATTTCTATTTTTTATAGATATAGATTTTCGTAATCCATTGATTTTTGAAAATCAGATAAATCAAAAAATTTTTTATTCATCGATTATAAAACTATAGACTTCTATTAAAACATCCATAGATGTCAAATTTTTCATTCTGTTAAAATTGAAAATATTGTTTTGGCTCTTACAAGGCGAAATTCTCGACATAGAACATTTATTTTAATAGACTTAAAAGATTCAGAGAGTCACAAGATTTTGTTTTTTTTTCAAAATTTCGTATTACTAAAGTATGTTGTAAACAAAAAAAAGCAAAAAGGATAAAGAATGTTTTTTTTTCCTCTCACTTCGAGATTGTATTAGTAGTAACGCCCACAAGATTCAACATTTTATTTCAATTTTCTTAGTCATATAGAAATTTATTCACAGTCAACATAGTAAATTAACACATTCGCAACAATGTTACCCACGGGTAGACCATATCATAGTGTGCAGTGGATAGTCAAACATAAAAACTAAAGATTCTCCGAAAACTTATTCGTCTATCAAACTCTATGGAGCTACATGCACCGATCATTTCAGTAAAAACAAATTTTAATTTGACAAATAAATGACGGTACTGAAGTCATAATAATGAATAACCTCAGATAGATCTGTTGCTAGACTTATGACGATTGTCAGTAGTTTTGATCTTTTCTGAGAATCGTTAATTTTTTTTGGCTGATTACTCATAGAAATATTCAATTCTAAAATTCTAAAATTTTGAAATATTCTATTATACTCCCAAATCTCTCATTTTCGATGGACTTTCATTCAATATAAAATTCACCTTTATTTTTCTTTTTTTGTTAAGCTGCACATTTGGAAAAAAATAATCATTTTTAGCAGTTCTGTAGAATCAAATCATCTTCGATGTATTCCATAGTATCTGATTATTAGGAACATTATCTCATACTAGAGATGTACAAGATTACTCTATTTTACACTACAGAATAAGAATGAACGTGTTACAGAGTACGAAATGAAAAACAAACCATGCTTATTCTGCATATCTCCATCTCATATAACGTGATAGATACTATTATCTAGCAAATTTTACTCAAGATTCTATCTTGTCTATCTTAGACTTTAGACCGTATTTATATAATAAAAGATATAAGGCTTTAAATCAAATTCGACTACTGGAAAAAGAATAATCTTTTTTAAATTAATAGAATAATTAGATAGATAAATTTTATTATTTTTAGTCTTACTTGACAAGCATAACATTGCACAAGTGAATTCTCATCATAAACTGATCCACATCGACAATGTACAATACAATCTGATGATGTTCTTGATCTTGATGTTCGATGTGAATTAACATTACTAGCAAGTACTATTTTATAAACAATAGGTGAATCATTGTCTGAATTCTCATCAATATTATATATAATATCATAAAGAATTTCTCTTATCTGTCCATAGATAATTTCTTTTTCATGTAGACGTCCAATAAAATTTTCAAGTGTTTGTAAATTCGTTAAATTTCGTTCTTTGTCTTTCATATTAAGAAATAAATTTAATATCTTCTTATATTCGACTTTTAATGTATTGTGAAAATAACTTTGTAATTCTAATACAGCTTCTGCTTCATCTGAATCTTCACCACAATACGTCTACAAAAAATAAAGAAAGGATAGTTTGCTTTGTTTTTATAATTTTTTTATCAGTTTATACTTACAATTGCATTTTTAAATAATAATAATAAATCTTTTTCAAAGATATGAAATGATAAATATTCTCCATTATCTAATTTTGTTCTTATCATTGTTAAATCAATTGGTTTTGTTATTATTTCATAATATGCTGGAAATAAACGTTTCGATGGACATTTTTTTAATACAACTGATGGTGTTATATCTTTATTTGTACATTTATAATTTGATATTAATTCAAATATTTCATTTAATATAAGTGTTAATTGTGCTAATTGTGCATAATAACATGTATTATCAATAAGTTCATAATAATGTCGACCAGATTTTGCAAAATGTGAACGTCGAATGTGATTATAAAACAGATAAAATATGTCTAAATATATAAAATTTAATTCTACTATGAATAGAAAATTCATATTTTATAATTTATTCAATATCATATATTTGATTTCTAATTAGATATGTAACTATGAAGTTACAGATCATGGATTTCTTTATTTTTATTTTTTTGGACCAGAAGATATCTTTTTTGTAAAGAAGTTCGTATAATTCAGAAGATTGATATTTAAACATTCGTTGATCTTAACAACAATAGTCGAAGTTGAATTCATACTTATGAAAAGTTTCAATCGGTCAAAGGCTAACATTTTTTTCACAAAATAAGGCTTTTCAATCATCATATTCATCTTTTTCTAGTATTAATGTACATTAGCAAACATTGAATGAAAACAATTTTTCAATGTTTCTTTGTTTTTTTCTACTTTTAAAAAATAAGATTTCCTAACTAAAAGATTTATTTAAAGAGATTGTAAAGTTTAGAAGACTTGATGCTATTTTATATGAATATTATGAATCGCCTCCAGGTATATAGGGAAAGAAAAAAATATGGAGAGGCGAAGTGAAAGAGAAGTTTCTCAAAAGGTAGAATGGCGCATATAAATTTATTTTTTAAAGTGGAGGACGTCAACCTTCTGTAATCCAAGGTCATCTATCTTGATATCCACGTAAACCTAATAACAGAATTTGAATATTTCAAATCTATCTCATTGATTATGAACTATATCAATAAACTGTATAGTAGGAATGTCTGCCATTGACAACTAAACGAAGAATAATCCAATGAACCATCTAGCTCAATAAGAGGATGGAAAGAAAACTGTAAAATAGTTCAAACTCATTGTGTTTGAGGTTTCTTTTATTGATTCTAGCGTTGCTGAAATTTCTCTCTCTTGATATTTTCTAGTATCATTTGCCTACTTCAATTTTCTAACAACAGAAAAATGTTGTGTCATGTGATTTAATAGATAAGGACATTTTTCTATATTTAGGTGATAATGACCCAGACGGTTTTGCAACATATCTACACATCTATCGAAGGGATCACCAAATCTAGACCTGATTTTTTTCTTTCATAGACTGTATTGTCAATACATTAGAATGAACTTCAGTCTAAAGAGATATTCGAGAGTAACATATTGAATGATTAAGATATAAAAGTACTTTATTTATTCAATACTTTCTGTTTTTTTTTGTTGTATTTACCTTTATGAGCTAGTTTAGGAGTTTTTCTTAAACTAGCTAATGTTGATTTATTATATAATGGATTTGAATGATAATAATTTTGTGCAAAAAAAAGTGATATTGTAGATTGTTTATCAATTTGTTGTTTTAATTTATTACTATTTTTTTTTCTTAATTCTTGTTTTTCTTTTATTCGTCTTAAATTACGTAAAAGAAATATAGATGATTGTAAAATCATTCGTTTTTCACGTTGTGTTAATTTTTGTATAGTTGTTATTGATGTATTATTATTTGTTGTTATTAATGTTGATTGTTGTTTTGTACCAATTGTACCACGACATTTTAAACTTTCACAATAACATGGTTGTTGAGCTTGTAAATTAAAACATTGAAAATTATAATCATATGTTAATTCTTCACCTGCTTTTATTGGACGTAATGAAAACATACACATACGTTGTAAACCCTCAACAGTCCATTTTTGAAATTCACAATTAGGTGAACATGAATGATTAGCAAAACGTGCTACACTACCCATACGATAAGCATCAATAACTAAATTTTGTGTTAATTTCATTGTATAATGATGTTCATCTTTTGAATAGATATTTGCCATACGTTCATGAAATTTTTCTTCAGTTATTATTTCACCAACATATTCACATAGAAATGTACCTTTTTGTATTGGTACTGTTGTACGTAAACCTTGACCATATTTACTTGTATCGAATACTTCAAGATGTTTAAACCATTGACTTTTACGAATTTTTTGATTACTACATTTAACACCTAAAAAAAAATATAATTTCAAATAATTAAAATTTCTTTCATGTTTTGATAAAATTTCTCTTCGTTCCTTTTTTTTTGTATTCTTTTAAATATTTATCAGAAAAGAGACACATGCTATTGAAAATATTCGGATCAAATTTTAAAATTTTCATCAATAAATTAATAAAGTTCAAATATGAATCGTGTATGACATGCACGAACTGAAATATTCAAATATACCATATATGTGTAATATGTCAACAATTCAACATTTATTTATTTACTCGCTTTTCATAATAGTTCAATAAAGAGATTGTCAAGTTACATAAGAAAAAAGTATGTTTCATATATAGAGAACATACTTTAACGTGATTATTTTTAAATATAGGAAGAGAAATAGACCGGAAATTCGGACATTCGTAAAATATCTTTTTCTTATGTAATTCGACGATCTCTATCAAATTATAATGAAAAGAGAAAAAAAAATCCTGTTGATATGTTGAATCAGTTTTCATTTTATCTATATTATGAATTGAAAAAAGTTCTTTAAAATAAAATGAATCGGATGGAAATAGAACATATTTAAATAAAAATTCCTAATTACTCTTTCTGATCTATTTGTAGATTGTAATCAAATTCTATCATGCAAATAATATAAAAATCTATCGTCTTATCATTTCATTTAGAAATTCTAATTTTTTTAAATAATTGATTTCATAATATGATAAACAAATGTATTCTAGGAAAAGATAATGAATTTAACAAAACAAAAAAAACCATACCACATGCACAATCGGGAAGACATTCTGTAAATATCATTCGATTAAGACATACACCATCTTCACATGTTCCAGATGGTTTACAATCACAAACAGGTGCTTTTTCTATACTATATGATGATAAAAGACTTTGTCGTAATTGATCTGAATAAGCATTGCGTGAAATTTTTTTAAAAGGTAATGGTTGTTTTTGTTTTGGTTTATTTGATTTTTTCTTTGTATGTTGAAAAGTTGATATTGATGAAGATAATAAAGGAGAAGTAGAATTGATTAATATTGTTTCTTTTGTTTGTTGTTGTTGACCAAACCAATAAATGTCATATGGAAGATGATAATCAATATATGATGATTTATCATCATTAGATTCAAATATTCCAGTATAAAATGGTGGTAATGAACCTGATGATTGTCGTCGTCGACGTTCAAGACGATTTTTATTACTAAAAGAAAAATTATAAAGAAACGTCTGTTGTTTCTTTTTTTCTGTATTTTTATTAAAGAAAAATAATATATGAACCTAGTAGGTTTGGAATTAGCATTAGTTGTTGTTTTATAATAATTTGAACGAAGACCATTTTTAATAAAACATTGTTTTGGTAATTCAGACGGTAACAAATCTTCATCACTAAAATACCACAATATGTATATATTGATAGACTAGATTTACTTCAATTTTATTTATGAAACAAGACAATAATCAGTTTAGAAAATATTCTTTGGAAGAACATTAACAATGATTATAATAGTGTATAGTTTTTGAATGATTTTTATCTTCGCAAAAAAATAATTAAGCATAAATGATAGAATATTATTCTTTTTTTTTTCTTTATAATAATTACGCACATATAAAGACAACTATTAAAAATAAGAAATAATCAATTAACTTATTTCTTATTTTCGTTATATTGATAAGTTTCCTAATAGACATTGAATTCATTCGTTTTATTTATTACAAACTAAAATATGTTCGATAGTATATATAATGCTCTAAGAAATTAAAAGTATTCTAATATATTTGTCTTATCAATTTTTAAATATTTGTTTTTGTCGATCATTCTTAAGCTTCACACTTCTTCTTCAACTTCTCTTATTCGATATGTGTACTTTTCATAGTCATTTGTTTATTATAACAAGATGAAAAATTGATTATAACTATAAAATAAATTATTAGATCAAAACAAATTGAATTTCTTGTTTATTTTCTTCCATTCATAGTTATTATAAAAGGTTTAACTTTTTTTTATGAATTGTCTGTTATCTACGACATTAAATAATAAATTTGATGCACATATGGTTCTATTGTTTTTTTTTATAATACGATACTTTCAAGTAGTCAATGAAATATTATATTAAAATATATAAAGAATGTTTTTCTTTCTTGTTACAAACTTCCTATTATTTTATAGAAATGAATATATCGATAAATAAAATCAAAAAAAAAAATTTTTCTAAAAATAAAAAAAAAAAAAACACACAAATACTTTAAATAGAATACCTTTCCGAATTAGAAATATCTTCAATTTGATTAATTATTTCTAATGATGGTGATGATACAATTCTTTTCTTTTTTCGTTCTATAATATGGGTATTTGTTGTAGTTGATGATTTACGTTTTCGGTTTGTTGTATGTAAATTTTTTTCTTTTTCATTCAATGGTAGTGGTGGTGGTGATGGTGATGGTGATGGTGATGATAATGGAATTTTAGCTGGTGTTAAAACAACAACGGATTTTCTTATTATCCATGGTGATAATTCATCAATATTTTCATTCATATGACATTTATTATGTTTAGGTGATAAAGGTTTATCATCCATTTTAAAAATTTTTATTTTTCGTTCATTTGTTGTTGATGTTGTTACTATTGGTAATTGTTGAATAATATTTGAACCACGTCTTGTTGTTGTTGGTGGAGATTTAAGTGTAATTGTTATTGAGGCATCAAGTAAATTAGGTGATTCAGGCATTTCTTTAACATCAATAATATCACTATGTGTAGTTATTAATTGTTGTGTATTTGGATATTTTGATTTTGTACCAAATTGATAACCATATTCAATAGCTTTATAAAAATGTGGATAATAAGTACGTGCAAGAATATCTTTAATACGTTCAAATGTTTGAATTGGTGATTTTGTTGTTGTTGATGATGATGATGAAGTATCTGATAATGATATTTGTGTTTTAGGATTTAATTGTAAAACATGAAATAAATTTTTTGGTGTATGTCGATGTGTTGATGATGATATATTTCTTCTATTAACATTCCAATCCATTTTAAATGATATTGATGTTGGTGAACTTATCACAGATAATGGTTGTTGTTTATAATTATTATTTTTATTTATAGATTTTTCTGTTGATAATTTTTTTCGAAATGTTTTTACATAATATAATTTTAAAATTTTATTCCATACATTATAACGTGTTTTATATATATATTGTTTTGTTAGTGATCTTTTATCAATATATAAACATATATTAAAATGCATTGATAATGTATCTATATCAGAATAATTTAAAAAACGAATATCACGTATTTCATCTTGACAATGACCAGGTAATGATTGAAGATCAGTTGCTAATGGAATAATTGAATCTCTTAATGATGGAATTGATAATGTATCAATAGATTTTGTTTTATGTTTACGTATATCAATAAGTGGCACATCATCATCAGATATATCTTCAGTAATTGGTGTTGACATTTCAACAGGTTTTTGTATTGATGATGATGTTGGTTTAGATTTATTTGCTCTACGAATAATTATTTTTTTTGAACGTGTTAGAGAACATTTGGAATCTATAATTTAAAGATAAATCTCTTATAGGAAATATGAGATTTTTATTTTGGTAATACAGCATTTAATTGACTTCTTTTTTTTTAATATTATGATTCGATATTGGTGGGAAAAAATTTTGAATTGTATACTAATGTCTGTTTCAGAGTAAAGTGGTCAGCATGTTATTTATTTTTTTGAATAACTTTCAATCAATTAATCCTATTAAGTTCTGAGACGAATATTTATATAACATTCATCAGGTTTGAAAATATTTTTTTCTACAATTAGTCATACATTCATACTTTGTTTTCGTTACCTACTTTCGTAATAATTTCATGTAAAATAACATGAGAGAATTAGTCTGAATCACTCTATATACATAGTAAAATTTTGATATCTTGAAACAGTTATTCAAACAATGATTATGATCATTGAACTTTGAAATGGATATGATTTCAATAATATAAAAGTGTCAAAGAACTTGAAATAATTATTCAATTTACTGTTTTATCTCAAATGAAATTTTTATTTTCAAACCTGAAGATGCTGGTGATGATGCTGCAGTAGTTGTTGATGATTCAAGTTCAATTAAAGGTATACTTTCTCGTATTAATCTTGATGCTGATTCAATTTCTACCGAAGGTATATCTTCTATTATTTGTCTTGGTGTGGATTCTAAACTTATGATAGATGGTGAATTAAATATATTTGGTGGTGAATCTATTGTATTTATTGTTTCAGGTGATTTTAATAAATGACCGTTTGTATTTATTGATGGTAAAGATTTTTCAAATGAATTTTGTTGTTGTGATAATGTATCTATAATATGATGATTATTTAAATTACTGTTCGGTAATGATCTAATTAAGTCATTTGATTGTGAACCTGTTTTACGAATTGTTTCCATTAATTTAAACCATCCTTGCATTTTCCCAGTTGCATCAATACTATTTAATGATGATGGTGTTGTTTTATTCTATTTATTAAATAAAATTAAATAGATTAGAAAAGAAAAATAAAACAATTTTTTTTACTATTTGTTGATTTTCTGTTGTCATTATGATCGAGGTTCATCTATAAAAAAAAACCATAGTTTGTCAAATTTTATGAAATGAAATCAAAAGAAATTTACAAGTCATGTATATATGTTGACAAGGAGGACGAAACGGACATTCAACTAGAAGTTTAAATGTTTCATTTTTTTTCTTCCTTTCTTTCGTCTCTCTCATTGATTACCTGTTTATTCAACTCAATTCAGTTTTTTTTTCTTTGCGTACTATATAATTCTATTGGCAAGATGAATCACTACTACAGTATGGTATCTATCTTTCGTTTTGTTCGTTCGTTCGTTCTTTTTTTCTTTCTTTACGGAGATTTTGATTGTCTAAATATATATGCAGGATAGCCAATCAACCATCCATGACCGGAACTATAACATTATTTTACATTTTAGATATTTTTATATAGGCTATTATAGACATAACAATTGCTCTAGCCTACAATGTAAAGAATATAAATATTGATTTGGATATATTTATTATTTAATAGATGTCTCTAGCCGGCAATTATACATTTGATCACTGAGACAAATTGAAAACTTTTGGTTTTAAAATAAATGCTAGTCTCAGAAAGAAAAACTCAATTTTTAGGAGTTACTATAATGATCAATTTAAATTTGTTATAACAAAATTCGCTTAGAGAACTAAAAGCATAATTTATAAACATACAGAAGTGTTCTGAGATAGAGTTCAGGGGTTCAAAAACTTACCCGAAATCGGAATCTCGACGCCGCTTACTAAAAATGAGAAAAAAGCGGTTCCGGTTTGGTTTCAAAAACATCACGTGGAACTGAGATCGTTAAATTATCAGATAGATACGAAAATCTTAAAATAAAACAATATTGTACATATACACTGAAATCTTTAATCTCAAGAATGAAAAACCAAAGGTTTCTCGACATAGATTTAAGAACTTTTGAATTTACTTGATGATTTAATGGGACTGATTCCTTTAATGGTTTCAATATTTTTAGAACCGCCAAACTCTATTGAAGTGACACTCTTGTAAATATACTTGAAAGTCCTGAAATAGATGTGCTGATATATTTGGTAAAAACTATATATATATATATATGAGTTTATGAACGAGAGAAAAGACTTATGAGGTTATGAAATTTACTTTTTTTTTTTAGCAAGAAAACCATGGTAACATGAGTCAATAAATAAGAGTAGAATGTTTTAAATAAAAGTATAGAATCTACCGAAGTTTTTCTGCGACAGACAGAAAAAATAGGGAAATTTATCGGGCTCTTGACAACATGCAAGGCAAAAGATTTTTTTTCCATTCACAGTAACCGCTAATATTCAATTTCTTTTTTGACAGATTGCCTTTTAACTTGTTATTGTTTTCTACAAAAACTTCTTATATACAATATATAATGTAGATGCAAGAAAATTATCGAAAAAAAAAAGTCAAGGACAACATAGCAATGAACATAATAAAACCAAGAAAAGATTGTATTTCTTTTAATAGCCGGTGATTCTGGCTAGTAAAAACAAAAATGAAAAATCCGATTCCTAAAAAAGTATCTTTGCAACCGATGATCTAATAATAGTAAAGCAGATAACTGATACAATAATAATTTTCTAGCAATTTTTAAGTTATATTTCATTTTTCGAGATTATTAATGTCTAGTCATTTTGAAAAACCAATTTCTTCGAAAGACAACTCAACAAAGAGAAATAATAAGAAAATCATGAATGTTAATCATCTGTATAATCTTTTTGTTAATAAAGAATCATATTGAGTTGAAACTTTGTGCAAGTATTGGAGTTGCCTAGTTACACATAAAAAGAAATCTTGTCTTGTGTATTTCGTTCTTAGTGAAAAATCAAGGGAAATTTTAGTATATTTATAATACACATGTTTGATGTGTATTGCATCTCCAATGGCATTCAGCGAACTCAACTGAAAAAGTTTATTCTTTTTTTCTTTATTGAACGGCAGACTTTGACAGCTAGTAACTCTTATTTTGATTTTCTTCTTTCACTAGCCTTGAGATATACATTAAGTGAAAAAATGCTTAATAACGCTGAGAAATTTTTTGAAAACAGGTCAAATTTTGATCAAACATTTTTTTTTCATTTAGTGAAGGCTATTTTTTGACAAAGATGAGCTTTCAAATAAAACAAAAATATTTGAGTTTATCTCTTACTTTAATGGAATATTACTGTGGACGCGTCATCGTACAACTACTGCGAAAAAAATTGACTTTTTTTTTCAGCAAAAATGATTTAGATGCAATATCGTCTTTTATGGCAAAAATCTCGCTGTTAGCAGAAGCACTGCTCAAAGCTATGATGGTTATGAAAGTAAACATCGAAGTATCTAACCATACCTTTTACTAAAATAGTGATTTTTTTTGACGATCCTAGATTTTTTTCAGAGGTCGTAATTATATTTTTAGCTATTTGTGACGTCTCTTTTCATTCAATTGAGCGAAATATGCATAGTTTACGGCTGGTGCAGACGTTGATTAAACTCTACAATTTAATATTATGCATCGTTTGAACAGATCTTCAGGCAGCAATAAAAAAATTTTCAATTCCGATTATTCCGGTTCCGACTCCGTTCTCTTTTATTTTACGGTTCCGATATGATTCTTGGTTGCCTTTGTTCTGAAACCATCTGGCTTTAATTTCTTGTAAGACAACTTTCGCAATTGATAGGATCAAATATCTAACGAAGGCAAGCTACCGTATACGTATATAAATCAAAGCTGTCTAATCACAAAGAACAACAAACATATCATAAATACTAAGACGGATCGTGAATATAGAGCTAGACTTTGAGAACAGAGACTGATTTTGAATATAGAGGGAGAGATGAAAACATGACTAACAATGGGTTTCAGAAAACTTTGATTTCTTTCATAAAATTGAGATTTCTCCTATAGAATTATTCATATTATTTTTAAGAAAAATTTGAAGATTTTCTTCAAGAACATCTATTTTTTTTCTATTGAACCTAGGAAAATTTTCTTACCAAACAGTTTATAACATTTTGCATCTTAGTTCAAACAGTTTTTTACCCTTCATTTTTGTCAAAATTTTCCGCGAAAACGCTATTTTTTCCGGCATTACTGCTGTATTATTGATTTTAACGTGTATCAGTATAAACACTATCGGAAAAAAGTATTACTCTAAAGTAAACTTACTGTAACTCTATTATTAGTAAAATTTTATTAAAACAATATCGCTTTATTTGGAAGAAAAATTCTTAATGTTCTTTTCAATATTTTCTTACTCTGAATTTTTCATTACTCATTTATGTCATTGATGTGAAAATTTCAACGGTGTAAATTTGATCTGAATCAAAAAAGACTGTCTCGAATCAAACACAAATGATTTTTAAGTATCAATTCACTGATCTATTATTTTGAGGATAAAAAAGGTTAATTAGAAAAGTTATTTTAATACGCTTTAGCATTATTTATATTTGTTTCACATCAGTTTCATATGCTGTAACGTTATCTGACTTAAGATTGTTAAATTTTTCTCGACAAGGTGTATTAAGACACACATATCTGGGTAGTAGTAGTGTTAAAAATGAATGTTACATAGACTGATAAGTATACTTTTAAAAATGAAGATTTTGATCAAATCTATCTAGAGATGTGTACAACTAAATTTGGATGAAAATTCGAAGGTTTGCTCAGAGTGAGACGAAACCACAAGGAAAAAGTTGTTTGAACCGAAACTGATGATTATAGTTAAATTTTCTATGGCTTTGTGCGAATAAACTAAAATCATCAGGATCGATATCACGATCAAAAACTCTTAGTCTTCATATTTCTCGTTTTGTCTCTTACAAAAAGATACAATCGATGTAACATAATCATTATCGCAAAAATATTTGAGTGTATTATCAACCTCTTCCTGTCATAAACAGATCGTTCGTATCAGATGACTCTCTAAAAGAGTAATATCTGGGATATAATAGACAAGTCAAGATTTTCTATTAGATAGGAGTAAGTAATTGTGCATATCAATTTATTTATACATACATTTTGTCCTTTATTCATGCGACATTATATAAGACTCTGCTTTTAGTGCACGTACTCTACATATCAATTTGATGTTCATTTAGATATGCAAGCCATTTGAGTTCAAAAATTGACTATAATTCTCACCTTTTGTAAGATACTCGGAACTATGGTGATGTGATGTTAAAATGATCCATGTATATACCTATATTCATGCGTGTAAAATATTATTTTAATGAATATTTTTTTGTAATACATACTAAACCAGGTTTTTGTTTAATGTATTTTTTATGACTTTAAGTTTGATAATATTGCATAAGTTTCCATCTGATAACATCAGATAAATGTTTGAAATGTATTTTTATTTAAAATTATAGACATTTTGTGTAAATATAATTGAACAATTACTAATACGAAAAATCACAAATTTTATTATCTTACCAAGGTTATTTTTGTGACATTATTGAAATGCCATGTTATCATTGAAGTATTTTAAATAAACAATAACTTTTTCTTTGTGCTTTCAACATTGGATGATGATATCCAAAGAAATACTGATATCAGAGGTTCGATGAATCTTTTCTCGTATATCTGACATGCCAATAGCAAGGTATAAACTGTTTTCTGCTTGTCTGTGCCTATCATACGTTTTTGATGGATGTGCCTGTCTATCTATCACGGTTTGCTGGTTTTCTATATAATATTATTATGATAATCATTGAATAAAGACAGAAAATTGTCTTGATAAGAACTTAACGACATTATGTGTACTGCAACAACATCACCATACGAAACAATGTTTCGTTTAGTATAATATGTATTTGTCGGAAATAGACAAACAGGAAAGTATTAAAATTTAGAAAAAAAAAACTCCTTCTTTTTGAATAGAGATGTTGTGAATCAATTTGATGAACTAATGCCAATTCCCAAAAAGAAGGTGGGTGGGTGTTTTTTGAATAACTTTTGATAGGTACAAGGTAGAAAACTACAGTTTTCACCGTTGGAATGAAGCAT